TGGGACTGAGGCATCGGGTGCTACGCCAACACCATGACATCCCTATCGTGGGACACCCAGGGTGGCATCGAACCCTTGAACTGACGACCCGCAACTACTGGTGGCCGTCTATTCAGACCGATTGCCAGGCGTACGTACGGGCCTGCCCGTTGTGCCAACGAACGAAGATATTCCCGAGACGCCCCGCAGGGACCTTGGTCCCGAATAGCGTGCCGACTCGGGTATGGCAGCGCATATCAATCAATCTGATCGTGCAACTACCCGAGTCTTCCGGATACAACGCAATCCTCGTGATCGTCGACAGACTGGGTAAAGGGATACGTGTACTCCCGTGCACGGGAAACATCTCCGGGGAAGGAGTCGCTCGGCTATATCGTGATCACGTCTGGAAGGATTACGGATTTCCAGAGGAAGTAACTAGCGACCGGGGCCAGCAATTCATCGGGCATTTCATGAGCGACTTTGAGCAAATTGCTGGGAATCAAGGTTCGATCCTCATCGGCGTACCACCTGCAGACGGACGGGCAAACGGAGCGTGCGAATATGGAGGTCGAGCAATACCTTCCGAACATTCTGCAACTTCCAGCAGAGTGACTGGTCTGACTGGCTTTCCCTAGCGGAATTTGCGTTCAACGATAAAGTTAACTCCTCAACGGGATTCTCGCCCTCCTTCCTCACGTTAGGATTTCACCCGAGGAAGGGGTCCGAAGCCCCGCAAGAGGTCCCGACCGAAGCTGCTACAGTTTTTGCCGAACGGATGAAGGAAGCTCGGGCCGACGCGGCCGAAGCCATGAAAGAAGCCCAGGAAACGATGAAGAAGTACTACGATTGGAAGCGCTCTCCGGACCCGAATCGGACAAAGTTTACCTCCAGGGGACGAATTTGACCAGCGATCGGCCCTCAAAAAAACTGGACGACAAAAGATTCGGGCCGTTCGAAGTCAAGCGCAAAGTTGGTAAAACATCCTACGAGCTGGTCCTACCCCCAACTTGGCGCGTGAGCCCCGTATTCCACACAGCGCTATTGCGACCCTGGAACGCCCCAGTAGCAGATCACCAACGGGCCGCCCCGCCACCCCCGGCAGAGATGCGGGACGGCGAGCCTCACTACGAAGTCGAGGCCATTTCCCTTGTACGCAAGCAAGGTCGATATCGCCTGAGGTACCTAATTCAGTGGAAAGGTTACCCTCGAGAAGAGTGGACGTGGGAACTGCGGGACAAACTGGAAGGCGCAGAAGAGGCACTCGAGGATTTCTATATTCTCAACCCGTTCGCACCCCGCCGCGAAGAACTCGTAAACGGCCGATGGAAGATCCGAAAGCAAGACCAGGGGACACGGACCCATAGGGCGTCGAGGCGCCGCCCACAACGGAGGGGGTGATGTCACGGTTCGGGTCGGGCCGTCCGGGCCATAAGGCCGCACGGGCCCGAACGGGCCCGCATACCGCCGTCCTCTTCGACAATTCCCCATTCTTCCAACCCCTTCCCTTCACCCCTGCGGCCCTACGCAGTGCCCATCCGATCCGCCCTGGGACCTGGCGCCCATCCGATCCATCCCTAATATCTAATATCGTCTATTCTCCGGGCGAATACCCATCCCTCGTGCTCCCCAGACCCCTTTGAAGTCGGACCCCCGACGCCCCGATACGGCCTGAGCCCGACGTTGACACGACACTTGGCTTTATATGACTGCAAATATGAAAGCATGTTCTCTTCCTGGGAGCAGTGCCCAGATCTCCTTGTGGACAGTCTCTGCCTCGACTCCTTGGTCCTTAGCGCCGATGATATGGATGGCGCCTTTCTCGCAAACCTCGCCATGCTCATTCGGGTCCCGGCTCTGCAGAACATGGATCTGACAATCGAGAGCAAGGAATCAGAGGACTTGCTGCAAAATGCCTTCCTTCGCAATGCCCACAATCTCACCATGTTAACTCTGTCACTGCAGCCCTGGGCGGAACACAGTGCTGCTGCAACTGGGCCATCTCGCTTACCTCAGGATGCTCACAGGTACAGCTCAGACTGGTCGACGAGGAGGGCCCGGAGGACGCCCCATACTGCCGTGGCCACTGGGCAGTCAATCTGCTCTCCCCGCTCATAGCACTTGACCATCTGGTCCTTGAAATCCGTGCACATTATGGTCCCACTGTTCTGCACATGGGCAATGGCAGCCTGGCCTGCACCACGACCGCGGGTGTATGTCCGCATGTCTGTCCGGGTGGACGACACTGACTTTGACATTGCTGATAGTCACATCGATACAGGTAGGGCCAAGGAGGACGTGCTCGCTGTTGTTGCAATGTGTGGATTGCAAGTAGATGTGGAGTTTGAGCAGTTGTTCTAACTTCAGATATGCTAGTTTAAATTTTGAATTTTAGCAACTTGAAGCTGCATGCATCAAAAATCTTTGTAAAGGCCTGTGTAGGCCTTGCACAAGATCTACAAGGTTCAAACACCCAAGACTGGCCCTGTACAAAGCATTGTACAAGGCCTACAAGTTCCAACAAGATATATGAGACTGATCAAATGTGACACAGTCAAGTCAGGAAAGTGGGGCGTTGACTGGGAGGCAGTTGCAAAGCCAGCGAACTGAAAACTCAGTGAGAGAGTCTATATATTATAATATAGTAGCCATAATAATATGATAATAATGTCAGAATATAATATCTGTTGCCATAGTATAATTGTAATAATGATAATGATATGCCATAATAATAAATTGTAATATAATAAATAATGGCCAGTACTAACTGGCAGTAAGTGGCTGGTTTTGAAACTGGTTCAAAACAGGGTAGAAAACAAGTAGTGGTTGGTCAGACTGCTTCTTCTGGAGTCAAGTTATAAAGCATGCATATAACAGGTAAGTACTATACCATGTCTAGGCGCCTGGCAACTTCACCGTTCCTAGTATTCAGCCTATCCTCCGCTTTCAATCGCAAGTCACCCGGAGCTCGTGTAACCGCACCTGCACCTCATCCCAGCGCTGCATCAGGTGCTCCTCCTCCTCAATGCTGGGCCATGATGTATAAAATAATGCAAGGTTTGGAAAGAGGCCCAAGAGGAACTTCGCAAGAGCCAGGGTGTCGATCTCATCATCAAAATCATCAATCTCTGAGTAGCAGAAATCGATAACTGTCGGTGAAGTTTGTACCACGCTTGGGTCCAGAGGCACGGCAAAGGCGTCGAGCGTAAACTCCAGCGACTCGAGAAACGTGCACTGCCGCGCGATGGTCACGAGCACGTCAAGCGTAAGCAGTCACACCATGTGGCGATCGGCTGATTCAATGCGGCTTGATCGTCGATCATTGCAATGCAGAGCTTGCATAGTGGCGTGGCCGAATGGCGTGCGCCCGCCAAACGCCGGCGTGCACGCCACTGATGGCCGTGGCGTGGCGTGGGATGGCGTGTGCCATTACCGAATGGTTTCCCCCGTCGTCTTCCCTCAGGTGCTGGACTATGCACCGGTATCTTTCAATCCAATACACCACGCCGCCAGCAGTGCGGCCTGTGGCGAACGGGCGGCAGTCCGCCGCCGGACTGGCAAGCATCCTTTCGATCATCACAACAAAACCCCTCGCCCTCCCGCGCACAACGTCCTTTCACCCGCTCGCGGCCCCGCGTCGGCCTGGTGCTCTGATCCTCCCCGCATCCGGCACCCGCCGCGCGGACCGGAAGAAGCACACCCCCCTGATCGCCCTCGGACTGGCACCCCGGTTTCGTCCCACGCTAGCTGGTCTTTCGCCAACGCCCGCGGTCCCCACGTCCCTATGACGCGATAAAGCCGCCGCGGACGGGTGCCGGGTGGCCAACGGGCGGCACCGGGGTTTGGCGGCGCCGCACGCAGAGACTAATTCGCCTGTGCTTTCAGTGGAACCGAATTGGCAAACATCTTTCGAAGACCCCTCGCCCTCCCGCTCAAAGCATCCCGCCTACTGGCATGCCCCCTTGATCCTCCCGGGCCCAGCACTGCCGTCGAGGTACATACGTACACGTCGCTCATCGACGAGTCATCGTCCCCAGATCCACTGCCCTCCGAGTCGGACCGACCGGCCGGCCCACGGCCCCACGGCCCCACGGCGCCGCGTGCGATGCGGCCGAACGCGCTGCCTCTGTCTCCCCTGCGACTCGGGCTGCGCGCCGGTGGACCGTGGACGGGCCCATTCGGCGACTGTTCACGGGTGTGCGACCCTTTGGCCACGGCGCACGCTCCTTGCATCAACATGCGGCACGCTAGCGGCCACTATGATTATCCTGCTGCCGCCCCTGACCGGACGCCGGGATCGGCGGGCGGGGGCGGCGGGCTATGGCGGAGCGGGGCCGGCGCCGGCGGGCTAGGGCCGGGCGGCCTGGGGCCGGACGGGGAGCGGCCTGACAGGGCTGTGTGGGGTGTGAGTGAAGTTAGGGAGCCGCGGCACGGAGCGAGCGCTGGCGCGTCGACGTCGTACTCGGTGTCGTAGGTGGTTGCTTCGATGACGGCGACGGCAGCGTCATCGCGGCGGGGCCGAGACCGACGGGCGCGGCAATGGCGTGAAGCGATGCAGCGAAGAGGACGAGTGCATGGCAAGGAAGGGAAGGAGGAAAATGCAATAAACAACGACCGAGCGCGTTGAATGGAATGAAGAGAGAAACGAATGCTCCACCGAGGGGAATGAAGAAAAACGACGACCGACGCGTTGTTTTATACGTCGCGTTCAGCCGACGCTGAACCTGTCCTTGCCGAACGCCGTCCGGGCCGTCCTGGCCGCCCGACCCTGTTACGCACTCTTATTTGCCGCCCGACTCCGAGCTGCCCCGGCCCGGGCAGGACGGCATCGAGGCTCCGCTGAGTCTTGGCCTTTCTGCAGATCCATCGGAGTCCGTCACTGGAACAGGAGGCACCAGCCCTTCATTCGTACCCGCAGTCACTTGCCAATCCGTGTCCATCCATGAGCTCAAGGTAATGTGCAAATCAATTAGCTATCCATTCACTAATCTATATTTCAAGTACTTCAAAATTACCACTAACTAATATTCAAACTGATCTACACATGTGGGAGGTATCGATTCCACTTCACCTCGCTGTACACCGCATCCGGCAGCGCACGCAGCGCCACGAGCGGGAGGACCGTCAGCGCCAGGCGCGCGGGGACATAAAGCAAAACACCGGCAACATAAACCGGGAACACCCACGAGAACGGGATGCAGCCCGTGTAGCGGAGCGCACCGTCCGCGTAGACCCACAGAACGACCACGGGCACCGCGCCGAGGACAACGGAGGTCAAATTCTGAACGCGGCAATGAGCGGAAGACACAGGACATAGCGCAACACACCTTTGGAGAAGTACCACGCACATTCGAGCTGCCGGCCTGCAAAACCGACAATGAGCTCGGGAGCAACGAAGGCTGCAAAGACAAGCTTGAGGCGGCGCCGCAGGCCCACCGTCTGGCCGACCAGCTGCCACTTGAGGTGCTGCCACAGCGAGGCACCTTTCCCTGGCGGCGGCGGGATGGGTGGAGGCACGTTTGGGTGGGCGGAAACCCAGACACAGGCGAATATGGTGGTGAAGCAGCCCCAGACAATGGAGAAGAGGCTCCGCCGGTTCTCGCAGTCGATAAAGTCTGCTCCAGTCGCGCGAATGCCGACGCGTACGGTGAGCATGGCTGGGGCAGCCTGAGTGGAGAGGGTGGCGCTGAGAAGGGCGAGGAGACAGAGCATAGAGATGGTGTGGAGGAAAGAAGAGCGGAAGCGCTGGAGACTTGTCAGCGCTTAGCGGTGGGGCCCGCTTGACATGCCAAATGAGTGGCGCCGCCGCTCAACTACAAAAAGGTACAGCTTGATTGAATTGCTGTTCGAGCGCTCGAGGGCGGGTGCAAATGGATAGAGACAGATCACAGCGAATAGTCCAGACACCAAGCTGCCATTTCTCTCGCGACTCTGAGTTGGGCACTGGAACTGCATTTAAGTAGAGTTACAAGGGAAACCTACAACCTAGAGGGTTTCACGCACCTGCCTCGCCAGTGCCCGACAGCTTTAACAGTCCCCCAAGCAGTGCATACTATTCATGCACACTGGCAACCCCCGCGCCAATCGAAACACATTCATCGCTTCCCTGGGTATTGCCGTTCCCGGCAGCATCGTCTCTCGTGGCAGCGCTCCTCAGAAGAGCCACAACAATGCGCTTCCTTTGTCGGGCGTCGCGAAAAGCGGGGAGGCGAGTGGTCGTCAAGAGGAAGAAGAATTGATGTGTGACGTGGCGTGATCGGCCCGTCCCTCTTCTCCTCTTCCTCCACCACTCACCTTCGTGATGTGTCCCTCCCTTGGTCCAACCGTCATTTACAGCGCGGATAGCGCACGCAAGTACTCTGGTGCGTCCCATGGCCGACAGCTCTTCACTCAGCCCTCTCGAAAGTCATACTCCGTGGACTGTTTCTGGAGTCATGCTGCGCGGCACTGCCAGGTGACTGCCTGGACCGTCGCTCTCCGCTAGTGAGTAGGAGGGAGGGAAAGCGTCGGACGATGGGTCTTCAGCGGCATTAGTGCGTCCCTCCGCGCTTTCGCAGACTTTTCACATCCTGACAGTTTCGCCCACAGAACTCTTCTTACCTCTCCCGGCCCTAGTGACAAGGAACTCCTCCCAATACACACCGCTTTACGCCGCTCCGCCACGAACACCAACAACAACCTCTATCTACCAGGAATCCCGCGCAACTTGAAGACTACTACACGCGAACGAAGAATTTCAGAAGAAGGGATGGGTGAAGTCAAGGATGGGGAGGGGAAGAGTCAAACTCTGGAGCAGGCAGCAGCGGAAGCTCTGCGAACGACGAACAAGAGATGGATAGTGCTGTTGGTGCGTCCTATCGCGCTGGTAATAACCCGCACAGTGCTCATTTCGCCCTTCAGCCGCAGACCAGCAGCGTCAGCGCTGCAACTTGTGAGCCAGTCTACTGTAACGACGGCAGCAGCCCGGCTCGGCTTCCCATCGCCAGTGGAACGTAATAGAACGCCTTCAACCGCTTACATAGCCAAATTCGTCGTTCCCGTCTAGTCTACGCATTCCCTGAATCCCCATCCAAGGCCTATTTTGGAACGCATATCGCCCCCTTTCATCGTACCTTCCCGGCCATTCCCAGCCGCGCACCTCTGGCCTCTGCTCCTCCAGCCCGGACCAGCCGCTCAAAAATCCAGCGCGGCTTTTTTTATTGCCTTTTTTCTTATTTTTGGAAAAGCGATATGCATGGTTCTAACTCGTCGCCACTGTCATGCGAACTGCATGCGCCGGGAACTGCATGCGCAGGTCGCGAGTCGGCGTGCTCGGGCTGGGAAAAAATGATCGTGAAGGCTGAGGCACTGCGGCCCGTGGCGAACGGACGCGATACGCGTTTGGCGGGAGCCAAGGATTTGTTCCCTACAGCACTCAGTCCCCTGTACATACAAACACCCTCGCCCTCCCGCTCAACACACGGCCCCGCGGAACGCTGATCATCTGAACTCCGCTGCCCCTACGCCCAGCCCGGTCTTGATCCCCGAGGAGGCCTCGGCAACGCCAAAGCCTTGCGCGAATCGCGATGGCGAGGCCAAAAGGTCCCCGGACGCTGCCAACCCTTCCACCGTGCGCTCGTCCCCTTGCAGCCCGCCCTTATGCCACCCTTATGCGGATGATGTGCCTGAGGAATGGTTTGCCAGTGAGTAGAGCCCTCGGAGCCCGACAGCTCACTCCCCGCCGAGGGCACCTGTTCGCAGCAGGCCGCGACGCTCATGAGCGTTTTATGCTCCACGATAGAATTGCTTTTTTTTTCTTTTCCCTATGTTGCCAAAGTGATGCGCAAGTTCAAGTTCTAGTTCTACTTACCTTGCTGCATGCGCACGGCGCGCGTCAGGCTGGAAAAATTGTAGGCCCGCGAGAGAGGACGGCACTGCGGCCCACGGCGAACGGGCGGCACTGGCCACGACCCGGGGTTTGGAAAGTGGAGGCAGCGGAGTCAGATGGACTGACTGATTCGCTTGTGCTTTCGGCCACATCGTACTGGCAAGCATCCTTTGGGTCACCCCCACAAAACCCCTTGCCCTCCTGCGCGAAACGTTCCTCCCGCCTACGGGCGGCCCCGCCCTGCACTGATCCTCCCTCCCCCTTGGCCCCGCCGCGGCCCCCGCGGCACCGGCCCTGCGGGACGCTGATCGTCCGAGTCCACTTCCCCTCTGCCCAGCCTGTCTTGTACGGATGAAGAGGCTCGGGCCGAGCAGCCGCCGAGCTTGGTGCGATGGCCGTGGACTGAGCACGAACCTACCCAGCCTCCCTCTCTATATGGAGCGTGGACTCCCCGCCGAGGCTGAGCGCGCCTGTTCGCAGCGGGCCGCGGTGCTCACTTGGAATATTCGACGTTGAACCGCGTACCGGTACTTCGAGTTCTTCTTTTTGTATGTCTAACCACGGCGGAGGCGGGAAAGCCTACCTCAGCTTCTCCTCGCGGGGCGTGTGATGCGCGCGTGTACTTACATGCACGCGATGCGATGCCAGTGGACGGAGGAGGGAAAAAGTGACTGAACAAGTTGCGTGGATTGACACGCGGCGAACGAGCGGCGCCGCTACTGCGAGGCGGTGGGCATTGGTACTGTCGGGAGGGCCCCATGGGGTGGGCTGAACTTGAAGCCCGGGCCCCGGACGTCGAGCCCGGAAGTGAAATCAGCCCGTTGGGATGCGGACACGATGTTCAACTCCGAGTCAAGTAATGCCGACCAGGCTCCAGGCATCGGGCCTCGTTCGATGCACACGCTCTCTCTAGTACATATTACAACACTCTTAAAACATCGCACCCACGACTCCCCGCACTCGTACTCGCGTCCGGAGCACCCCCGACCGGCACCGGCAAGAGCCCCTGCGGAACCGTAATCGTGCCCGAATCCACTGCGCCGCCGACGAGCCCCGGGGACCGGGACGACGCCCTCCGGCAGCGTAATGACCCCGGCATCGGTGGGCGGCGGCACAGGAGGTGCGGCGGGACAAGCGGGCCGGGGCTGGGCCGGCCGGACGGGGCTGTGTGCCAGTGGGGTGTGAGTGAAGTTACGGAGGAGCAACGGGGGACGGGACGTACCCGGGCGACGCGGAGCGAGCGCTGGCACGTTGACGTCGTGCTCGGTGTCGTAGGTGGTTGTCCCGGGCCCTCGAGCTTGAGACGACACATTTACTCCTGGGACACGACAACGTCGTTCGGTTACACCGTGCGGATCGTGCGTCAGTTGCAGAGGCGCGCGCTGAGCCACGGCGCACCGTTCTTGCATACATGGACGTGGAGGAGGAGAAGCCGTTGACGTGGGAATGTGCACGTGCGATCCACGCTGGTCCGTGCGCCACACGTCAATCACGGGCCTTCTCTTCTCCCACTTCCCCCTGCTTCATCGTTCCGAGGTGCCATTGGGAGCCGTACCGACCGCCATTACCGTCGTGGCCGACTCGCCATCGGAGTTGCCTGCCCCTCCTGACGACCGCGCAAGCCCAAGATTCGCCAAGCTCTGTTGCAGCTGTTGGGGTGTATGTCCGCTGTGAGTGCGGCGGGAAAGGGGAGGAGGACAAGATGCATCATGAACTCGGAGAGGGATGGAAGGGGAAAGGAATGAATGTGGTCTGCCGCGTGTCGCTCATGGCGCGTTCTGCCAGGGTCAGCCAGGCGCGGTGGCCCGGACCCGCGCTTGCCATCGTGGTTGGTAAAGAAGCGCTCGGATGAGTCATCGCAGAAACGTAACACGAATTGAGGATCTCTCTTCCGGCTTGCATGTCGTACACGCTCTGAGAGGGCGCCGGATGGAACGGGCGGGCGGTGGGGCCCGCAAAGCGTAGGAGGGCATGCGCAGTGCACCTGCAGAGGCTCTAGTGCGTCGTCGTTGCTTTCTCTTTAACGGCGCTGACTCGGACGTAGCGCCTTTTACAAGCTGTTTGAGCAGTCTGTGAGTCACCGCCTGACTCTTTGATCGAAGGCGGTACGGTGTGTGCCTGCGTTGGAGTCAGGAGAACAACACATCTATTGTACGTCACAACCCACACACAACGCGCCCACACACGCTTACGCATACAAAAGGGCGACGCGCGGCTTTGTTTTCTTCACTCTTCTCTCCCATGTCCTGCCCAGACAGCTTCTTCTCGTCGACTCTCCACAAGGCTGCAGCAGCCACCGCGATCCCGCTTGCATTCCTGCGCAGCAATACCTATCCAGTCCTTCCTGGAGCGCTGCGAGACCCCCTGAACTCGTTTCAAAATGATCTCAAGCACTATGACGACGATATAAAGGCTGTACGCACTATCCTCGCGCGGCTCACGCAGGAGCGGGAAGCGCTGGCGCTCGTCACAGCTCCGTGGGCAGCCGTGTTTGCACCCATCCGAAAACTCCCGAACGAGCTGCTGCTGCTCATCCTGCACAACGCGGTGGGTGACAACGACACCGAAGGCATCTACGACGATGGCACGTGCAGTCGGTCGATGGCGGTGCTTTCTCACACGGCGTGGCGCGGACTTGGCGCGGTTTGTCGGCATTGGCTGGATGTTATCAAAAGCACGCCGTCCATCTGGGCGAACGTGAATGTGATTGGGCTCGACTACATGAGCGACTTTCATGCCGAGAAGGTGCTGCGCCGGGCAATGGCTCGCACGAAGGGGATGCCGCTCCGCATTAGCTTAGCAATGCCACAGAGACTGGAGGATACAACCGCGGTGCTCGTGCAGCAAGCAGAACGGTGGAAAGTGCTCACACTCTGGGCAGGCTATGATGAACTGAAGGAGCTGATTCAACACATCCCAGGGCGGCTCCTGGTGCTGGAATCACTCGATGTGCGACTTCTCAGCAGAAAGTATGGAAGCGATAGTAACCCGTGGGAGGACGAAAAGTGGACGCTGTTTGAAGAGGCACCGGCACTTCGACACCTGACCTTCCCAGACTTTCCGCCATGCGTACCTTGGTCACAACTCGTCAATGTCCATATGGTTTGTACACGGTTCGTGTACAACAACTTGGCATTCCTCAAAAACTGTGCCCCGCACTGTTGTGTGAAGATTTCTGGCGTCAGGGAATCTAGTGTTGTCCCCAAGGTCTTCCCATGGCAGACAGCACCACCGCCTCCTATGCCTCCTGTTCAGGCAGACATCGCTGGCTTGCACTTGAGCATGATGGGTGACAGGAGGCCTGGTATCCCCGGGGTCCTTGGCCCGATGCTCGGGTTTCTGGACCTCCCCCGGCTGAAAAGCCTCACCCTCGAGCGGTCTAATACTGGGAACTCATCCAATGTACTTTGGGACACCAACGCGTTCGCGGCATTTGCGCGCCGCTCACCACATGTGACCGCGCTGCACCTGCGCAACATGTCAATCGACGTGCCACAGCTGTGCGAGGCCCTCCGCCTGATGCCGCTCATCGAGATGCTCGACATTGCGCTGCCTCTGCACTACGAGTCCCTCATTGTGAAGGAAGTGCTGCGTTCGATTGGCGAGGCGGAGAAGGGGCTCGTCCCGTGGCTGACTCGCTTTGCCTGGGAAGCCACCCAGCACTTCCCGGTCCCGCTGCTCGCCGAGCTCGCTAGCGCACGTGCACGCAAGAATACGGAGGATGGCCGGCGCGACGCAAAGACAGGGCATGCGTTCGTGCTCCGGGTGGACTTCGACTATCTGTCTAGCTGGGATACACCTAAGCGAGATGAAGTGAAGAATTTAAGTAGACTTGTTGCGCCATCTGTTGCCAACCATGGCTTGCAGCTTACTACGACCGGTCTGTATTAGTTACATTTAACATGAGTATGTACATGGGCTCAGAATTGTGAGAGAGGAGAGCAGTGTGGGCTGGCTTTTTGCGAAAGCCTAGCCACTGGCCAGCCCCTCGTGTCCCCGCCGAGGCCGAGACTGCCCGTTCGAAGCGGCCGCAGTGCTTGCTCGCCAGATGAATGTCGTACGTTTTGACTGCTCGTTGCACTTCAACGCGGGACGTACATTCATGGTACGCGAGGCGTCGCGGTGATCATGGTACGCGAGGCGTCGCGGTGCTGGGCGGACGTTTGATTGAGGCGTGAAAAAACAAGATGGGCTTTAGTAATGAACACGCCCGTGGGCCCGCGGCGAACGGGGCGCCGGGCGGTGCGATCGTGCTGTAGCGGGCAATGGCGCCACGCGGATGGCACATCATTCCATTCACAAACTCCTCTACACATTATAAAGCCTCAAAAGGTGCCGCCCACGACCCCTCCGGGCACGCCGATCCTTCCCGGACTCGCCTCCGGACGACCCCCCGAGTGGCACCGGCACGAGCCCCTGCGGAGCGCTAATCGAGCGCCGCCGCCGGGCCCCGGGGACCGGGACGACGCCCTCCGGCAGCGTGACGACCCCGGGATCGGCGGACGGGGGCGCGCTCGGGCCGCCCCCGGCGGCGGGCTTGGCGCGGATGAGGAGGCCGAGCCCGCCGCTGAGGAGGCCGTCGGCGGCGCCTTGTGCGATGGCGGTGCCTACACCAGAGGGACCCGAGCCGGGTTGCGCCGGCGCCGGCGCCGGCGCTGGTGCTGGAGCTGGTGCGGCTGGTCGGGGAGGTGCAGCGGGCCGGGCGGGCCGGGGAGTGCCGGGGCGTAGAGGTGCGACGGGGCGGGCGGGCCTGGCGGGAGCCGGTGCCGAGGCGGGCATCAGCGGGGCGGGGCGGGGCTGTGTGGAGTTTGAGTGAGCGGCAAGAGGAGAAAGAGGGCGTACACGGCCGACGCCGCCGCGCGGATCACGCTTCTCGAGCACGGGTGAGTTGACGTCATAGTCGATGATTGCGTCTTCGATGACCGTGGCGCTGTCGGCGTCGGTGTCGAGCGCGGCGACGGCGCTGTCATCGCGGCGGAGCTGGAGCCCGACAGGGGCGGCGATAGCGTGGAGCGCGGTGGCGAGGAGGACCAGTGCGGTGAGGGAAACGCGGAACTGCATGGTTGGGTGGAAGTGAATGAGAAAAGCGACCAAGCGCGTTGAATGAAGTGAAGGGGAGAAAGGAAAGGTCCACCGAGGGAATGTGAAGTCGAATGAAGGACAACCACGACTGATGCGTTGCTTTTAAGTACACGCAACCGACGCCGAGCCCGTCCTCGCCGAACGCCGCCCGGGCGTCTACGCCGACCGACTCCGGCTGCGGCCCGGACAAAACGGCGTCGCGGCCCCTTGGCTTCTGGAACCCATTCATATGAGTCGCTTGTGCATCCGCGTCGGTGGCTGATCTGTTCAAGTCGCCAGCGTTTGAGGTGCCAGTGCTTTTTTCCCTCCTCCACTGGCATCTGCACTCTTCATGGCGAAGCCCCTGTGTCGTCAGTTGCCGTCCCGGCTGTACTGAGTGACGCAAACAAACCTAGCTAGCTACTGCACCGCCCTAGAAGGAGCGTGGACTCCCCGCCGAGGCTGAGCTCTGAGGGCGCGCGTTCGCAGCCCGCGGTGTACTAGTATCTCTGATTTGCTTCACTTTTTTTTTTTGGAGAGGCGGAAGCATACGGGTTCTGCCTGCACTTGCGCGAGGGAAAGGCGGAACTTCATCCGACTCCGAGGGCCAACCTGGCAGCGCAATGCGCCTTGCGCCCGGCGGGCCGCGAGGAACGGGCAGTGTAGCTTAAGCTACCGCCATGTAACCGGCAAGCCGCTGATTGCTGCTCTGCAGCTGCAGGCAGTGGGGAAGATTGAGGAGGTGCCACGCGTGCGTTGCAGTTGCAGCCTGAGGACTGGGGAGTCAACACAAGATTCTTGTTACCCGTTGATGAGTCAAGCGTAGCGTGAACGCAAGACGGCGGCTGGATTCGCGAATCCAGTTCATGATCATTCGTCGATTCCAAGCAATAATAGACGTCAATCTGGCCGAGGAACATCAATGAACTGCGAGGAACGGACCACTGGCAATCACTCACCATTGGCGCCGCGGACCTGTATACCGCCTCCGGTCGATAACGATATTGCAAAAGCTGAGCTCTTGCAAGCTCACTATTAGGTTTGAGCCTTGTAGCCGCTGCCGGAAGACATAACCACCGTCTTCAGGGTCGTTGCAGGCGCGCCGCGCGTGTATGCACAGTTTGGCTAGCTTGCGGGATGAAAAAAGTAGAAGTTGGGATTCAGACGACTATGTAACACGGCAGTGCGGCCTGCCAGTGGGGCGAACGCACCGCGGCGGTGCGAGCTACCTCGCGGCTACTGTGATGAAGTGGGCATTGACTCCAGCATTCGGGAAAGGTCGCAGGATCCAGTCCACGGTCCGCGGGCGTGAAAAGCTCTAGCGCGGCAACGACGTGCCTGAATGAAAGCGAATCCAGTTAACAGTGCGTCGATTCTAGCAGGGTCAATAGATGTCTATCTGGCCGACAAATATCGATCAAAACAAGGAATGAGCTGCGAGCCCTGGTCCGATGACAGACTCGCGCTCGTCAACTTCAGAGCCGGAAGATACGAGGCTTGGAGTTGGACTTGTCGGTGAGTCCTCAATGGTTTTGCTCCGCCTTTGCTGTAAACCTCTGGAACGTCCTGCCCGGGGGCTCTTTTGCGTGTCTTCGCCACGTTGGTACTCGCTAAAGAACTCAAGATGATGTTGGTTACTCCGAGACCAGATACGAGCGGCGTCGGAGAGCTGCGTTAACCCTGGAGCGTCCATCACGGCTGTTTTCGTAAGCAGGCGGCCGTTTGTCGGATCAACGTCAAAACGGAGATGATGTGGCGGTTTCCGCTGTCACTTGTGTTGGAAGAGCTTCTGAGCTTGCTCTCCACCTGCCAAGTGGTACACAAGCGCACTCAAGATATACCCAGATGGGAGGTCTGTAAACTTTGAGGAGACACCTGTCATCGCAGACTTGAAGGTAAATCCGGGCCGGTGAACGGCCCGGCCTCCATGCGTCATTCCATCATAATCGAAGATCTTGCCATCTGGCAGCGCGTAGCGTGTTTTGAAGTGCTCGTCTTGATGACTGGCGTAAACATGAGCCACGAGATCATATTGAACCCCTGCGGCGGCAAATGTGTTGCCGAGAGGTAAGAGCTGGCCTGCCACATCCCAGTCATATTGCTCGGGCAGATATATTTCGCCGCCCACCGCCGCCCACCAGCCGCCCACCGCCGCGTCACCTAGCCCCATCGCCGCCCACCTGTGTCACGCTGCCGCGGCAGTCACACCAGTGGGTGGGCGGCGGGGTGGGCGGCGAAGTGCATGATCTGACGTAATCATGCACTTCGCCGCCCACCGTCGTCGAGCAACGTCGCTGGAAAGTGGCACGAAGGTATGCAACTTGCTCTCTTGCGGCGCAAAATCATAGATAGGCCCTGCTAACATCCATACTGACTGCCAGCATTGTCTCCGGTGCCTTCAGGGCCGCAGTGGCGAGGTCACCGCGCCGCACAGGGGGTGGGCGGCGAAGTGTGTAATTTTTAAGATTTGAGATTATGGTTGAGATTAACGGCTCTTGGTGTCCTATATACAGTCCCGAAGACCCCACCGTCAAATTTGTAGTCGTTCTGCTGTTATTTCCATTCTAAGTAATGATAACATTTTTGAGGGATTGTTTACTCTTGGTATGTAGCCCCGGAGTTGATATAACTGGTGTGTAATATAGCTATATAGGACTCATACTGAAGCACTATGCTTGATCAAGGACAGGAATTCAACAAGTTAATGCGCTAGCTGCCCTTCAAGACAAAGCTTTCACTACCTCTCACTGTCACCATAAAACCCCCAAACTGCGCTACAAATGGATGCCTGTGAGCAGGCAGAGCACCCAATGACACCATAGTGTAATACTGCACTTTTGCATGGCCCCTAGCTTCCTGCGGCGCCACTGTACCAAGCCGCGCAAGGGTGGGCGGCGATTTTTTCAAAAAAATAATCTAGGATTTTGAGAGGGATAAATAGCCTTTTATATCTCCTACACAACAGCGAAGACCTTACTCTAACAGTAGTACTCTTCGTTTCACAGTGGTGTTAGGTCATCGACACTGCCAATTTGGCAAGCAGAGCAACTGCCAGTGCTCAACGCGCACCGTCGCACACTGCCGCACACCGCTCACCAAGCCCCGTACCTCATCCATATGCCCAGTTCCATTCCGCCAAAAGCGTGACAATTAATCGAGGCTATCCGAGTCCGGGCCACTGCCCAGCGCCGGCGTTATTGTCGCAGCTGGCCCAAGCAGGAGTCGTGGGCCAACGAGACCGGGGCTGGGGCCAAGGATGATTGAGGCGCCGTGGAAGCGGCCACAGTGCATAGCCCAACCAGCATCGAGGACGAGCGCGCCGAAGACGGGCGGGCGCGGCGTCCATGTGAGCTGGACACCACGTCGCGCGATGACGAGGGCGTAGGTCAAGCCGCAGCCGCCGCTTTTTGCGGCGTTACGCCAGGTTGCTGTTGGCACCGGGCCTGTTGCCGCATTTTGGCAGTGCAGTATGCGTCGCACACTGCCGCTCACCCTCAAAAGGCCGCTCCCCGAGCCGCTCTGGGTGAGCGTCTCGAGAAGCAGCAGGGGTTAGCGGCTGCAACGAAGTTATAAGGAGAAGAGGAATAGGGTATGTAAGTACCTGCACCAGTCTTCTCTAGTCGTCAGAAGGGTTACCGCGCATCAAACCTCGAACCGCGGTTGCTGGTGCTGTGGCAGTCAGCTTCGCCGAGCCGCTGATTGGACCGCGCACAGGTGATGAGCATAGAGCAGCATGGGGGCGGTCCACACCACAAGCAGGCTCAGCGCCGTCCGAACGGGCGGAGGAGCTAGTTTGTTGTCGAACTAACGCCGGTGAGGACGAGCTCGCT